TTCATGAATAATTTCTCGTTCAGAAAAAAAAAACAACTACCTTCATTCGAATCAAATGTTTATTTTATTGAAAAAGCAAAAACGAAAGACAAGCAAAATATATGGAAACATTAGTTTATCGATCTTAAAAAATGTTACCGTTGTACAAGCATAACTTTCTTGAGTGTAGATGTGGATGTGAGTGTGGTGGGATTCAAGAGAGGTGCACCCACATCAGCACCCGTATCCACACCCCCACATACTCACCCACATCCACACGTGCACCCACTCATCCACACCCTACACCCACACCCACACCCACAGCCCACACGCGTACCCACATCCATACCCACACCATCTTCGTCGAACATCTTTCAAAATATTCTTTCTTTCAGCATTTTACTTCTTTTTTCGAAGTTTTTCGACATTTTGTACTTTACTTTCGACCAAAGTTGAGTTTACCAATAGCGGTAATTTCTCATTTTGTTTGTTTGGAAAAAGATAGAAGTGATGGGTTAAAATTAAAAGCACTTGAATAAAGTAAGTAAATTTAAAGTGCTGCTTTAAACTTTACATGTTAAAGTTAAAATGTTTAGGAAAGTCAAAGTTGACGTAGATATGTTGATCATATTTTTTACTGCTATTCAAGCCGTATTAGAGAGGACCCTTATGAATGGATGTATGACAACCCATTGCTCAATGAGCCGAATGAGCTGACTCAAATCGATGATGATCAGTTCGTCTCTGTATGAGTAGAGTCTTTTGACCAGCTCTTTTTTTCTGAGCGGAATGTTCTGACCGGCTATTTGTTTGTGAGTCGGATCTATCGACCAGCATTTTTATTATTCTTGAGATCTTGCTTATGCCTGTGACAGCTCACGAGTTCATCACCTAGTAGTTACGGCTCATGGGCTGGCTAGCTGTTGAACACCAGAAAAAACCTAGGCTTGTTCGGGATAGTCGATAGGTTATCAAGAGCGCTGTTTCATTTGGCTCGAACAATCCCATGTTTTGTCCTTAAAATAGTGGAAAAAACAGCTTCCTGGAACCTGATTTGTTCATAGAAAATCCATCAACCAATCAGCTTTGGGCAGAGTTAGTCGAAATATTGGAAGGAAGAACATACGATCGTTAGCTCCGATCAATGATTACAAGGATTCTCTTTTAGTTGGTCCGAACAACACCATGATGCGCCATCTTGGGCGGACGAAAAAGCGTGAAATGAAATGTAAAATATCGAAGGCTCTCTTTAAATTTATGTTGTAGTGAATTGGAACGGAACTAAGAGAGATCTTAGTAATACGTGTTAGAAAATAAAGCGACATGTAAGTTTAGGGTAAGGAAAATGATCTAACCCTAGGAGTCGGTCAACGACTCCCGCTCATCTCAAAAGAGCGGAAAAATTGTGCCAGCTCGATGAGCCGAGATGGAGCTGTCACATACGTACTTGTGAATCACTAAATCAGCATGAACGATAAAATGGGGTAGAAAAGACGCTTCCTAAATTTGATTGGTTAAGAGATTTTTCTATCTTTCAGTCAGATTTCAGCAAGGTTTTTTCTTCACTATTGTATCGACGAAACATCGTGTTCGTCGGATCGATCTAGGAGTAAGAAGGCATCTTCTTTTAAGTGATTGACAACGGTACGTCCCTTTTTCTAGTTAACGTCGAGGTGAAGAATGATTTTTGAGAGCATTCTCAGTATACATACTATCACTTAGGTTTTTTTACAGTTAAAATATTAAAGCATGTGAATTTAACTCCTAAAGCAAAGTTAAAATGGTATCCCTTCAATGGGACTTATTATTTATCCTATTGAGTGTTAGCTTCAGACTCTTGTGGAACGACATTGGTCTTCTGTAATAAACAACGTGTTCCCTTGCCCTGAAAATCTTTTTCAATGAAAAACTATAATGTGTGACTCAGATTCCATCGGATCATCTTTCTCTAACAATCATTGTACTTACTGATGATTGGAATGCATACTGATAATTGGTTTTACTGCCAAAAAAGTTTGAGCATTTTCTTGCGCTGTATATACGCATCATAATACTGCTGTTTGTTCACGAACATGGAGTTTCCAGCGAACTAAATTCAGCTAAACGACAATTTTGAATAGGGTATATTCAAAATGGAAAGTTTATTTTTATAGGGATGCATCAAACGCATCGTAATACAGAAGTCTCTCGAGATTGGAGTTATCAGTTATTTTTATTTACGACTATTTCGTTGCATTTGTTTTCTATAAGTTGCATTACTAGAGGAAAAACGGAGGAAAGTTTCAACATTTCGATGCTTTTCATTGTCAAAAGATCGATCTATTTTTATATTCAATAAGAACTTTTTGTTTGAAACCTCTTTTCATTTGTAAATAGAACAAAATTAATTAAGATGAAGAAATGTAGAGAGTATCTAAGGACCAAATAAGCTAGGGTTCGTTATGAATTAAAAAGACGATTATCCAAAAAAAACTACGATTCGCTGGTACACCAGAATAATGTTAAAAAGCAGAAATTCGCAAAAGTATTTATTGTTTTTCTTTCCAAGTAAAACAAAATTATTCTACGAAATAACACATGTCATTTAGCGAAGAATTTTATGATGCATCTTTTCAAACACGAGTCAAACCGAAATAATTGAAAAGAAAGGAATTCATGATTTCAGCTCATGAGAGACTTCTGCATATGAAGTACACGATATGTAAGCAAAAAAAAGTATCTTGTAATATTGATTGTCCGAGACACAACAAAATTTTCGGCTCTATCTAAAAAGAATGACATGATATCTCCGCTATTCTTTTCTTTTATAGATGCATGATAAATTGATTTACTTTTAAGGTTACCAAGGATACTGTTAAATTCTTATAATTATCCGCATAATCACGAATTTTCTTCAGATTTACACACAATAAAAACTATCTCGGATAACTTTCGCAATCGTAGACAGGTGGATATTTCAAATACAGACATGTGGAATGATTCACGAAGCCAGAATAATCAAAGAAACGTTTCGTCTGATCTCCGAACCGGGCATAACCAAAGAAATGTTTTGTATAACCCTCGAAATTTGGACAATCAAAGAAACATTTTGCATGATCCTCAAAATTTGGACGACCAAAGAAATGTTCGAAATGATCTCCGAACCGTGCATAACCAAAGAAATGTTTTGTATAACCCTCGAGATTTGGACAATCAAAGAAGCATTCGGAGAGATCGCCGACACCTGGAGAACCAGGGAAGCATTTCTTATGGTTCCAGAAATTTGGATACCCAAAGAAACTTATGGAGGAATCAAACCAATCTTCGTGATGATCCAAGGAGCCGCCCAAACGATAATTCATTTGACTATTCGCATAACGTTTACAATGATAATACATTTGTAAAACTAGAACGATCGGATAAGATTCCTAATAGAACCAAGAAAAATAAAGAAACACTTTTGAACAGACAAGATGGTGCACACTCGCAAACAAATACTCATAGTTATATTGAAACGATACCGCAAGATAATAGCTCATTCAAATCTCATATTCTTTGGATTGATAAGAAAAGTCCAGAAAATGCTCATCTTGCAAATCAGTTAAGAAGCGATGGACATATTCATGTAGATTTTTGTGGAACATTTTTGCTGGCATATGATCATTTGCTAAAAAATCTAAGGAAAATCAAATCATCTCCATCAACATTTCAAATAGTGTGTCGTGGCTATTATAAAGATGAGGATAAAAGCCCATTGGATTTGTTACTTTTCTTGAATCAGAACGATTTAAAACATGTTCTGGTGATTGTTTTTACTAAAGATAAACCTGGTTTAAAAACTCATTTGACACGTCAGGCACCTTCAAAGGGCCTCTACGATTGGAAAGATCGTCTATGTATAACAATCGATCCTCAAGAATTAATAGCCAAATGCAAAAGCAATATTGCGAACAAATCTGATAAGCGCTTGCATTAAGAAGCAAATTAGCTCATCATTCACGGAACAAGGACGCATTTAAAAAGAAACAACGCTTTATCTAGCTATTCTCTGTTTTTTTTAAATATTATACGCTTAACCTGGCTCCAAACTAACAAAAATTAATGAATTCAATACAAACTTTAATAGCACGTGACGAAACTATTAGTAGCTAAGAAGAGTCTAAGTGTAGATTTTACGAAAAGTAACATATCCACACTCACCAACCATTATGTTCATCACTACCAACATCACCACTGTAGTCGAACTCAGTGATCCCATATTCCATTGAAATTGGAACTGTATTCATTTTAGGAACAGCGATATTATGAAAATTGCACCGTTTGAAAATTTCCATTCACAGCATTGTCTTCTGGAACTCTCTTCGAAGTCAATGAGCCAAACGCCGAGATTTACCTATTGCATCAGTATCTAATCAGTTCAGATACATCTATGAAGCTATCAAGAGGAATTTAATAAAAATAAAAGTCCCTAGGCGAACTTTTTTTCTCAATTTTGACATGCGCAGACGTCACGATTTGGGGTGCAAGTGTGGGTGTGAGTGTGGGTGTGAGTGTGGGTGTGGCTGTGGGATGTGGGTGTTGGTGTGGGTGTGGCTGTGGCTGTGGCTGTGGGGTGTGGGTGTAGTTGAAGCCAAAACTAGATAACTAACCCACCGACATCCACCCACCCTACGCCAATCCTCGTTGATCTAATCATTTTTTATTTGATGAAATTCTTCTCAATACGTTCCTCTTTTCTATTACAAAACAATATTTCAATGACACAATCTATGCATTTTGGCCAGTGCTCAGTGCTTTTTCCATTGATTGAATGCTTCTCTTGAGGTTTTCACGTTTTTGCTGTTGTTCAAAAGGCTCACGCATCCATTCGAATAGAACAGTCGACGTAAATATCGAGCTAAGCTTAGAATCGAGCAGGAGTGCGCATTGATCGATAAACCAAAAATGACAGAGTTGCGCCACTTGATCGACTACTCTTTTCTCTACTACACGACAGTACGCTTTGATAGCTATTTGAACATCCAGCGCTGCTTGATGTTCGTTTGAAACTTCACTGAGATTAATTGCAAAATCATTAACGGTCACACATTGATTCACTTTTTCTTGAGCAACATTAGGTGCAGCTGCTCCAAAAAGAGAAGTTGGGGTGTGTGAAGCAGCGTTAGAGATACCTAGCAAAACATGAAACATATACCGCTCCTTTCCTTTATATTCTGTAACTATTATACTTACGTTTTGTGTTTGCGATGTACTGTTGAACCTCGGCTTTGATTTTGTTCACTGTGTCCATGTAATAATGATTCAGTGTGAATATTCGTTGTTCAATATTAAGCATTTTGCTAATATCATGATTACAATGTTCTTCACTTTCTTCCAATGCACGATAAATAATGTCAGTCAATTTATGTATCATATGATTCTTATAAGTTGCTTCTTTGTCAAATATTTGATTCAAAAGTTTAATGAGTACCTGTTTTAAATATGTTGCACAGGACTCAATTAGGTCTTCACATGGTTCACGAAAATTCCGATGTTCATGGTGATAAAGTCTTTCAATGATATTAAACGATGGAAAATTAGGAAGGGCTACTCCAGCATTTTCTTCCAAGAGTTTTAACACATAATTTCGATATTTTGATGTGAAGAACTGCGAAAAAGAATGATTAATCTCTTTGGCAAATGCTTTCTGCTGCTTGTGAAGTTGAAAAGCGATTCGATCATCGAACGAATCAGTAGTTGTTTGCGTAATACTCGGACTAGCATCCAAATCAGATGAATCTCTAGTTGGTTCCTCCATTTTCAGTTGCATATCGTTATCGGACACTCCGTGCACCCGTGCATAAATTAGATCACGATACTTCTTGATTAAATTGATGTATAATGTCCAGCACTCGATTTCAGATGTTATTGCTTGTGGCATGTTTTTTAATTCAGATTTCTTGTCTTTGATTTGATTCTTAAGCTTTTCTAAGATGCCAGGAAGCGTTGAACGAATACGTGCTTGTTGAATCGAAACAAGTCGTTTTATTAGTTGCTCACAGCCCAAATATTCCAGTGGTACGTGCTGGAAAGTTTTATTGAGCTGAAAAAACTGCTGTTCAAGCTGCCGCATTTTACAAAACGGAACATCCTCTTCAATTTGTTCTGGCGTGCGATTAAGCACAGCAATACAACCCAGTTTAAGAGCCATTGAACCTGGACCAATACCTTGAAGTTTATCACTGATACCCTTGTCATATTTATCGATTTTTGATACAGCAATCAACTGTCGATCACCTATTTCAACGAAGAGTGTTTACATAATTGAGTCTTGTCAGAGAAAATCTTACCATTCGGATCGTATTTTTTACAGATTTTCATTGATTCTGAATTTGTGAAATCTTCCGATGACGGAATGACATGCAAAACAATAGCCGTTGGTTTTTCGATATAATTTGTGATAAGATCGACTATTTTTTCATAAATATTTTCTGGCTGATCACCGATCGCATTACGTGTAATACCTGTACAACATTCATGAAAAAGAATGTTCCTATGTAAAGACGGAAAAACTTTCTGGTAGAATACCGGGTAGATCGATGAGTGTCAAATCTTCTTGAATATCTTTTTTGTAGACTGTCAGGTAGATAGGTGATGAGGAAACACCCATGTTAGTACCAGCAAGCTTGTTAGTACATGCTATCACCTGAGACGGAATCATAACAAAATCGTTCAGTTTCATCTCACCCACACCCACACCCACACCCCTAACAATAGTAGACAGGTGTAGATAAGGAATAGAAAAATGAATACAAAAGATGCACGAGCTATGACGTTATCACTGAATCAGCCAGCAAGAACACATTTGTTTACAGTTTATACAACGGAAAGACCATAAACTTTTAATCTCTTTTTCTCCCCATCATCACAAGAGAAGTTGTAGGTATATATATGTTGTCGAATAGATAGTTTTTTTCACTTGTTAAGTCATCAACCAAAATTTCAGATGCTTGCGGAAGAGCTTAATAACGTGGAATCACGTCGTCTCTTGACGATTATCGACCAAATGCGAGAACTCTTACGTCACGAAAAGATTCCTCTTCCTCATATTGTTGTCGTTGGCGATCAGTCGGTAAGTAATCATTCTGATTTGAATCGTTCCTATTGAGTTCTCGTCTTATACATGTATGTTAAAGGCTGGTAAATCGTCAGTTCTCGAGGCCTTGAGCGGTATTCAACTGCCACGCGGGCAAAACATTTGTACACGATGTCCACTCGAGTTGCGCATGAAAAATACAACGGTAGATGAATATGCAACAATCCGATGTGATGGTGTGGATGAGATGAAACTGAACGATTTTGTTATGATTCCGTCTCAGGTGATAGCATGTACTAACAAGCTTGCTGGTACTAACATGGGTGTTTCCTCATCACCTATCTACCTGACAGTCTACAAAAAAGATATTCAAGAAGATTTGACACTCATCGATCTACCCGGTATTCTACCNTTTTCTTACCTTTCTACAGAAATAAGTTTGATTATGATTTTGTAGAGAATTTCACGGCGCATCTTTTGGAAAAACAATCAGCTTTAAAGATCAAAAAGAAAAAAAGTTATAGTAAAAATACAGATGGGATCAGAACTTATGACACACCCTTTATTGATCTTTTTCTCTATATATCTAATCGTTCTATACAAGAATCAAGTTTTTGATGCCAAAATCCAATTTTTCTAAAGAACAAATATTAAATTCGTAATTAGCGTGAAAAATCTGTTTAACTCAAAAAGAAAAAAAATTTCAAAAATTTGATCAATAAAATATTGTGCTACATTTAGAAGCCGAATTCTCGTTATATATCTATCTATATGATACGATTCGAACTAGAGACATAACACATTGTTTCTTCAGAACTTTTAAAATCAAATATTAATATGTTCTTTTATTCTAATTTATCTAATACATGTAAAACTTAAGTTCATGAGATTTTACTTTCCAAATGAAATTATTCTTTATTTTTTTAATTTTTTTTTTGATATATAAAATTTACCTAAATAAATTTAATTTAATCCAGTCTGTTTCTGATACTTTTTCAAGTAAAAATTCTTGCTCCTTTTCTCCATTCATATATAATTGATGAACACTTTCATTTGGATTTGATTTTGTACAAATACTTATTGGAATTTTCCATTTTGAATTATTATCTATTGTTCCATCAGCTAGAAAACGTGTTTGTTCAATTGTTAATAATCGATTATTTCCTTTTTGTTCTTGTTTTATCTTTATTTAAAAACAAACAAGTAATTAAAAAATAAAGATAAAAATATAAATATCTAAACATACATTAAGAAGTGGATAACCCATTTGTTTTGTCCATGTTGAAAGTATATCAGATAAATGAGGTCGTTTTGATGCTTGAGATAAATGTGACCAAAGATTTTCTGTTATTGTATTTTTATATGCATATTCAGCAAGATAATTTGCTAAACCATTACGAAATGCTTCATCACCAATATATGCATGAAGAAAACGAATAACACTTGAACCTAAATAAAACCATATTTTTCTTCAAGAAAAAAAAACAAAATTCAAAACAAGAAACCTTTTTCATAAGTAATATCATCAAATATTTCATTAATTTCAGACAGTTTTTTAATAGGCATTTCAATTGGATGACTATTATGAAGTGCGTCTGGAATCATACACGTGGCTAATGTATCAGATAGAAATTGTGTCCAAATATCATATTCAGGATAAATATGATCAACAGCAAGAAATTGAATCCAAGTAGCAAAACTTAAAATAAGCAAAACAAAATAAAAGAAATAAAATATATCATGAATACTTATCTTCATTGAGCCATAAGTCATTCCACCATTCCATTGTCTAAATAGAAAATTTCTATGAAAATCAAAAATAAATTATAAATAACTTACAACTAAATTTCCAAACCATTGATGTGCTAATTCATGAGCAACAATAACAGCAACTTCTTGTTTTGTTTCTTGTGCTGTATTATGACTATCGACAAGTAAATATGTTTCATGAAATGTTATTAATCTAGACAAATTTAATAGATAAAATTTATTTCTTTTTAATTTAAGAGAATTTTAATTACCCCCAATTTTCCATAGCACCTAAAAGAAAATAATCTATTAAATAAAATATTTAAGTTTTTCTTTACCAGAACCAAAATCAGCTATGGCAATCATATCAACTTTACTTAATGGATATTTAATACCAAAATATTCAGCATAGAATGGAAGAATTTTAGCAGTTGTCTATAAAGATCATTCAAAATATAGATTAGTAAAAATGAAAAAAAAAAAACTAACATGTAAAGCAAATAGTCCTCTTTCTTTTTTACCAACTGGTGTATAAACACGAATTTGTACATTATTCGAATCATGTGTTTCGACATAATCATAAGCTCCAATAACATAAGCAACCAAATAAGTTGACATAATCGGTGTTGTATCAAATTCATAAATACATGTATGATCTTCATCATTTCGTTGTGATTTAATTGACTAAAATGAAATTAATACTTAAAAATAAAAAATTTTTCTTTTTCAATACCATATTGCTTAATGTAGTCAGATGTTTTGGAGCTCGAATACTTATGGTAAATTTTGCTTTGAATGATGGTTCATCAAAACAAGGAAAAGCTCGACGAGCATAACCGGGCTAATAAAAATATTTAAAATAAAAATTAAAGAAATAAACAACTTACTTCAAATTGTGTACATGCACCTATTTGATTGTTATCTTTCGTTCGATAAAATCCATGAAGTTGATCATTTATTATACCATTAAATTCTATGTGTAGACGACCATTACCTGGCTAAAAGATATATTAAAATTCAATTAATATTAAAATAAGATGAGTTTTTTTTTGTTTTTACATTAATTGATTGAGCAAATTTAATTGTTACTTGTTCATATTCTTCATCGAATTCAAATGAATCATCGGAAATCAAAGAAACTGAATCATTTTGTTGATATTCAATTTTTGTTATATTTAAATCAATACTATTCAATATAATTTTATTTACAATTTCATTGATCTAAACACTCATACTTTATTTTTAAAACATGTTTTTTTTATTATCTTACATGAATGTCAATTTCAACAACACCTTGAAAAATATATTGTTCAAGTTGACTAACATCTATATATAATTGATAATGTGATGGAATAATCGTCGTTGGTAAACGATGAGTTAATTCACCAACTGATGTATCAATTATATTCGCCATGAAATCAGTTAAATATAGAATATTGGCAGAGAGATTAGAAGATGTTTCGTTCTTCCAATTGCAAATGATAATAGATGCATGTTTCACTAGTGACATCTATATTCTGTTAGCTCTATATGAATAAACTCAAAAGATTTTCATTTAATATACTAGAAACAGAACAAGTCAACATTATGATAATATGTTTGTTACTAACAGTTCTTATTTTATTGATAAGGCATCTAGAAAGGGGTCTGTTGCTAGAGAGACTAATGTAATGATGTACAACTTTTGAATATTGACTACTGTTTCTTTATAATCTACATCTAAGACTGTTCATAAAATATTGATATCTCATCAATGAACCTCAAACAACCGTTTTATTTCTATTCATATGAGAAAATAGTGTGACTGAACAGATAACTGATTTCTAGAAGTATAAATAAGATTGTTGATGACACTCCATTAAACGTTTATTCAGTAAACAAATATTTTATATATTTTGTTTTACGAAAAAAAAAATGTAGAAAATCAAAAGAAATAGATTAACTATGTTTTGGTCTTATAAAAAAGATCAACATGCTGGTGTATCATGACATTTTTTGACGTGGAATACTCTAAAGGAAACAAATTACTGGTGAAATTTAATCTGAGAATCGATTAGAATCAATATAACATGACTTGGTGTACATTTTGAAAATGTGATTCTCTTGAGAGTCTGTTTTACTGATTTTTGTTTGAATTATCATCGACAATAAACTTGCATATGAATGAGTTTATAGCTTCGTATACGTCGCAGTAGACATTTACATCAGTCATGTTGAGCAATTGAAAGAATACTGAAAGAAAGGTCAATATTTATGAGTGATATGAATTGGACAAGTTAACAATAGTTATTTTGAAATTTAGAACAATAATCTTTTGTTGTTTATTCTGAATATGCGGATAAGAATAAAAATTAACTTTTTTTTACAGGAAATAAGTAAATTATATGTCTAACAGTGCAACCAATATTAAAGCGTTTGATTATTTGCTGATTCCAATAGGAAAGTAAAAACTCCTTCTAAAACTTAAAATTTGCAAAAATTTCTCGAAAAATAGAGTATTAAGGCCTAAATCGTCTCAAATAAGTCCATTAATATCGGTGTAGTAGGTGGATGTGAATGTAGAGATGTATCGTGCAGGCAATGATATGAATGTGTATGAGCAAAGAGAATACCAACATCTGCATCCCTTTACAGTTCAGTAAAATGGTCGTCGTGGAGCGAAATAAGAGCACGAAAGTGTTCGATTTCTAGTCAAGTAGTCTTCTATTTGGTAGTCAAATAGCTTAAAATCATTGTGATAGATATCTTTCAAACGACACATAAGTCGATCGGGCAAGTTGATATACATCAATTGATATTGTTTTCTTGTTCGACCATTCGAAAAATGCCGATCGAAATACCAGTCAATCGATGCTAGATTGAGACGTGACACAAGAATGTTGAAATCAGCTTGCATTGTTTCGTATTTGCCAATAAAATTATATTTGAGTGCACATACTTGACATAATGACGAATAGGGCTGCCAATGAACATCCATCAAAGCTGAATTGGAGGTGATATGCTCGAGAAAGTGTTGAAAGGAGGGAACTACTTTTCCACATGGCTCATCGATCGTCCTTGATTTTATTCTTCTCCAATGATAAAAAGCTGTTTCGTTCGGTTCCAAATAGAATGAAGCAAATTTTCGACAAATCATTCGACGAATATCGTCATAGAGTGAGAAAGGTGGAGCTTGAAGGGACGTAATTTTGTCGATGTAAGCCGATGCTAGGCGCTCCAATGGATGACGAACAAAGATAGCACGAATGAAAGTGTCTGATTGAAGAAGATAACTATCAGGAAAAGAGCGAAGGCGAATTAGAGGAAAGACTTTGTCTTGATGTATTTTCCATAGATCCAACGGTGGTGTGCTGGTTGTATTGCTCAAGCGTGATTGAAACAAGGAGAGAATTGAAAGACGATCATTGATAGGTAATTGAGATCCATTCTAAAAAGAGTACTTTTCAGGATTGAATCAGAATAAGTAGGCATAGATTATTTGTCGAATAAGGTTTATCTACGCTCGTCCGCCCATGCCTGATCTCATAATGTTCAGATTTTATGATCATCTTTCGTTCAAGAAAATGTTTTCAAGTAATCTATCATCAAAAAGAAAATTAACAATAGGTACGGTCTGATTGTTGAGATCAAGTTTTAGTTGATACTCGTTGTTCCCTTTGTTTCATGTACGAAGAAGAGATTTTTGGAAATAATCTACTTCACTCATAGCAGGGTAAATACATTGAAATGATTTGTATGTAAGTATCAAATTCTAATGTCTAAGGCAAGATAATCTTCTTGAACAACATACGGATGATAGAGCTCATCCTCGTATCAATCGTGTCGCTTTTTTTATGCCTCTTGCCTGTTTTTGGTTTTGGTTTTTTATGCTTGTGCAATCTTGATTTATACTTACAAATATACATTACTTTCATGCTGGAGTTACAATAAGGAAAAGAAAAGAAAGATCGATTGATTTTATCTTACCGTAGTTGAGGACAACAGCATTTGACTCAAATAGTCAGCATTGAATATAGCTGAATCTTTCACTATTCGTGCATTGTATTGTTCATTAGTTAAATTAGACATATACAAAGCAGTGAGATCATCACGTATATGAAGATAGGTGATGAAAGTCAGGAGAGTTCGCGTTGCCACTTTGGGTACGGAGCAATAGAAGAGAGAATGGGAGCGTAGAATAAAGCCCAAATAATCGAGCATCTCATTGCGATGAATAAGGTACTGGAGATTTGAAAGATGAAAGACTTTATCATTACATTTGTCTGCAAGTAACTTAGCGCGTTGCTGATAAAGAAGCAGATGAGTGGAAGTTGATGAGTTCAACGTTTGAGGGATGGCAGATATTGTCAAAACTATTCGAGGTACAGTCGAAATTTGACGTAATCTACTGGCTATTCAATCGCAGAGAATGAGAAAAAGAAATTATCATCCAAACAATTCAAATAGCTTCAATAGAAAATACCTGTATTCACACTGAGTACGATAAAGACAATAGTACCACCCAAATAGCTGAAATACATGAACAACTTCTTATGAGCAAACAGACACAAAGCGAAACAGGTCAATATATTCATGTTGATGTTTTGTGTTTCTTCAACAGTCCATTATTATGATACAGAATACTGATGCATTCTATACAATATATTTATTCATTCTCTTTTTCTTTCTATTGCGTTCTGCAAGCTAGACCACTACAAGTAGACTGAGTCGTGAAGGTTACAACATAAACGCTTTCTATCCTACTTCAATGAACAAAAAAAAAGAAGAATTAATTGTGAATGTAGGCTACGAAAAAAGTGTGAAAAAGAATGTCTTTTATGACCTGGAAATGTAAAGAAAATAGGAAAAAAGGTGGCACCTTTTTAATATGACTCGTGAATAAAATGAAGTTAACAGCAGAGTTGCTTGCTTGCTACCACGCATAAAAACTATTCGTATGAAGCCTGACTTGATGCACTCAAATATCTTTTTCACACACTTGATTGATGAGACATGCATTTGTCTTATTAGAAATACAGTCACAAGTTATTAGTGACGTTAAAAGGAACATGGATGCCATAATTACAATGCAACCAGTATTTTCTTCGGCTCCAGACATTAAAATTGGTTTCATCTCAGATTTCAAATCATCAAATTGCTGCACTTATTGATGTTTATTTTTATCTGGAAAGTTTGAACTAATGAAAACAATATGGTAAATGTTTTAATTTTTAAACTTATTTTATAATAATATAATTTCAAGTAATAAAAACATATTTATGGTAGAAGAAAAGCAACCACTGATTTACTGCAAGCAACTTAAAAAGAAAAATAGTAAGAGAAAATCGTTTTCGTAAACCACAGAACTTGACAACGGTAGATGAGTGTGTCTCTCAATATGTAACAGACATTGGCATATGCATCAGTGATTCAGAGTCCAAGATGAAAAAAACTCAATCTGGTTTTCATTTTTGACGGAATCATCAATTTTAATTATAATTTCGAAAAATGATCGACCTGCACGAGTCAAATGTCTTGTTTTCAACTGGAATTATTCTAAAACTGCTCAGTGATCAGAAGTATCAATCTGATGTAGTAAATATCACGGATAGTATGGTTTCTTCGGCTTCGTTTACTTCTTTCATGATTAGAAGAGAAAACATATGTTCGCTTAAATTACGCGTGTTGTTGCTTTTAGATGTTTAGATTATTCAGCAAGCATAAAGAGATATTCAAATTTGTACTCTCAGAGTGTTAATGGAGTGTTATGTGAAACCTTCATGATTTTGAAATTCAATTGATTCAAGATTGATAGAAGCTGAATTTTCTCACTTACAATGCTGTTGCACTACAGATTAGTTTTAATAAAACAAGGTTAATGGTTTCCGAATGAAATAGTTTCTCTTCTACTATAGAGTTTCTAATGATGGGATGCAACCGAATCTGAAATGTTCTATAAAGTTCATTTTTGATTAGCAGCTATTACAATATTATTCTATCTACGAAAGCTCACTGTTTATTCTCAAGCTCAGAAGTTGTACACCGTCAATACCGAAACAATCAATCGTTTTATCGATTGTCTCGTTAAAAGAAGGCGTTATCATACGAAACAGTATTTTTCATGCTGATTACGAATTAATCCATCGAAATAAATCGGATCATCGATTGAAAGTATAACCATGTTAGTTCAGTGATTCATGTCGCAAACAATCACACATTCATTTGACATACAAAAGCGCTACATCGATCGTGATTTCTTACTGTTAGGCAATAATTATATATGTAATGAAATAGAAATATAGCGGCAACCAACTTAATTTGTTGATGCTTCATACGACGTCAGTGTTCGAGTGCAGAACTTCCCGTAACATATGTACTCTATACTCACACAACATCCACACCCAAGATATAATCTAAATTTTATTCTAAATGATTAGTAGTTCATTCTTTGCACAATTAGATGCTTAAGTGATAAAGGAAGTAGATAGTGGCTAGTGGAAAATGCGTTCATAACGACTGCTTACTGATCATTGAAGTTTTGATTCGAGCCACTGTCGAATAGTCTCCAATGTATCTCTTGCTTCAGGAAAAAAAGGGAAAGAAAAGAGGATGAACATGCATTAAATTTTGACCAACTTCTAGTGTTATGTCAACTGCTTCAGCACGTGCTTTATCAACAACACGTCTGAAATCATCCTCCAAGAGCTCTGCTATACCAACTGTAATATAAAGTGACGGAAATCCTTTGAATGAACCATAGAGTGGACTATGCAATGGATCGTCTCGAGCTATTTGAGCATGATTCGGACCCAATACATGTTGGATACCCCATGCAATACTCTCGGCTAGAATCATCAAATCAGTAAAACGGTTACGGGTATAGCTTTCACCAGACGTCGAGAAGTCTGCCCATGGCGAAAGTGTAACAGCGGCACGAGGCATTGGTAGATGACGAGCAACAAGAGCTTGAATTGTCAATAGAGTAAGACCGCCACCAACTGAATCTCCCATGATGGCTAGATGAGAAGCAGGAATATCATCAAGAAGAAGTGCACGATATAATGTGAGTGCATCATCGACCACTGCTGGTAATGCATGCTCATGAACGAGACAATACTCCAAATGAATAACAGTTACGTTGAACAGTCTAGATAAATGACATTCGAAACCACTTTAAGTTATAAAAGAATATACAATCAGCGTTTTATAACTCAGATCCATGATTACGACGATCGTAAACCACCGTACACAGACCGCAAATAACCCATTTGGTAGGGACTGTATATAGTCGTATGACGCTGTGTCATATACCGCTAAATACGCACGTTTGTTACACTGATATTCGTACCGTAATACAGGCGAATTCTAACGGACACAGCAGAATACACTGATCATTACGAGCGTATATCTATGTGAACCATCGTTGCAAATGTAAAAAGAAAAAATAGCATCCACGAATGTGGGTGTGGATCTCTTTCCTGCACACACTCACACCAGAGCTGGGCATTTCCATGGAAACAATTCAATTTGGGACCCCTAAGACCAAGGGGGAATCAGCAGAGACTTCAGCCGTGAAGTCTCATGAAGTCTTGTAAGTCTTCTGAAGTCTCTTGAAGTCTTCTGAAGTCTCTTGAAGTCTTCTGAAGTCTCTTGAAGTCTTCTGAAGTCACTTGAAGTCTCTTGAAGTCTCTTGAAGTCTCTTGAAGTCTCTGGAAGTCTCTTGAAGTCTCTGGAAGTCTCTTGAAGTCTCATGAATTCTTTTGAAATACATTTAGTGCATGAAAATTCATAAGAAACCAATGAAATTGTCTTGTTTTCGACGATTTTATTTTAGCAGAAGGGTGAACTATTTATTGTTTGTTTTTCAATGTGCTGGAAAAAATTCAAACTTGTTTGGTCTTAGTAAACATGATAGTTAATAACTGAATGCTTTTTGAATGAAGGGGTTTATTTTTATAAGA